CAGGATCCACTCTTTAATGTGAAGACCAGCGAGAATATAGTTTTTAATTCCTTTTTTAGATATAACACAATTAAGTAGTCTATTAGGCACAGCTTTTATTTTCCAACAAAGACTCCTGGACAACAATACAATTGCGTTGTGATATTGCTCTTTTATACAACTGTTAGTGCCGGTCAAACTTGATTGGCTGAGTGGCGTTCCATAAGCACTGCTGGATAGATAGAAATGTGTAAGATCCATTTTGATGCATGAATACACTACTGCTAATATGTGTTCTGTATCTACATTGTAGAAACATAATGCATTATATCAAGAAGTATCTTTTGGACATTGTTATTGTGCAACGAGAAAATGCAAAATAAAGCCAGGTGACAAGGATTGAATATTCACTACACAACTGATCCCATATTGTCATTGTTCAGCAGATTCAAAAATGTTTCATAGACCTTTATGTTCTTCCTCTCTGCCCTTACAATGCTTCATTCTTATTGAAATGAATAATTTTGTAGTGCTCTTTGTCGCAGCAAAATATAGACACTCTCAGACTGTGCATTAGTGGTGAAATATCTGTATCAGTGAGTCACTGAATTATTCACTTAACCGATTCGTTCTTTATCAGTGAACAAAACACTTTTGCTGGGTTGCTCTAAAATGTGCAACAATTAATTTTTCTGTGGTTTTTCTTTGTAAACAAGTGCTCGATTAATGTATTTGACTGTTGTGCTCGAGTCTGGTGTCTTTTGAAACATCATGCATGTGACATGACATTCTAAAAACATGGCGCTCAAGTTAAAATAAGTTCTTGAAGCCTTGCGTTTTTTTCCCATTTCACTGTCCTGCGTCAGACGTTCTTAAACGTAAAAAGACATTCTGTGAATTCTGCTGTTGATTTGTTTAAAACTATTTTCATTGGTCAAGCAAAAATAGACAAAGAAACAGACAATGTTATGTCTAAAAATTTTATATTAATTTTACACACCGTCAGCTCTCATACTCGTGTCATATTCCTTAAATATAACCCGCTGCTCTTCAGAAGGACTGCTGTAATATATTTAATGGACTAAAATAAGTTGTAAAAGAGTACAGTATATGTTCATAATGCCCCTGTGGGAAGAAGACCTCTCTTTTGAGCTGGACCACCCTGGGTGAGGAAACTCACGTCATGGCAATTTTGGCACTGACTAAATCCGGCTCTATATGTTGACCGCAGGGTTTAACGTATCACTGGACCCTCAATCCAATCCTGCGGAAACCACCAGCAAAGTAAAAGCACATGCTTTAGGGGAAAGAGTGGGTGAAGAAATGTAAACGGTGTCATCAAGCACCCTTCGGTTTATCGTTCATTGTAATACCGCGTGCTTGTCTAATCCCCTTATTAAGAAGAAAACGAAAATGTTTGGGCTTTCATCAGAATTGCTGTACACAGCCGAAATACCACTGTCAAACCAAATTAAAATCATCATATATGCTGTGGGAGGGGAAACTCTGAAATCTTCAAAATGTACGCGCATGGATTTCTCATGCGCTACGTTGCCGACTCGCAGGCAGCTTTGGATGTTATAATCTTAAATGGTAATCGCCTGTTTGCCTCGGTAGGATTTACATTTTTTTCACGCTGTAATCTTGCATTTACAATGTCATTTATGTGACTTTGGCCTCTCCGCCTCTTGACATCTCTGTCTGGCTCTCAAGGTATAAGACTGACAACAGACAAGCCCCAGACACAACGCTTTGCTTTTCTTACCCCGGCGAGTGATGAACTTTTGGCATGCCGCTCATGTATGCAAACAGGCTTTGTTTCCTACACACACACACGCATTCTTGATTGATGTTAAACTGAGAGCGAGCACTCATGTTGCTGTCAGAGCTCGGCTAAGTCCCTTGAGCCTCCTGATTTCTTGACATTTGTAGATATAATATTCACGCAACAAGGAGCAGCTTTTGTGATGTGATCCTGCTGTAACACTTTAATCTGTTTAGACTGCCTCAATATTATGGCAGAGTGGAGAGAGGCCCATTCAGTACAATCCATAGCTTGGGGCAAACACCTCGGTAGATCTGAGGTTTTTTAATGAAATGGCTCTGCCTTATGTTCAAGTGAGAATGTTGGCTTCTATTTGTATATAGAAGTGGGTGAACTACTATTAATGGTGGGCAAACAAAGATTTTTTTTTTTTTGCACAGATTTTGTATGGATTTACTCATTTAATATAAATAAGTAAATGTGTTTATACATAAAATATTTTGTTGAGAGATGAAAATAAAAATCTGTCATAAGTTTGTTTAAAAAACATGTAATGTTAACATTGAAATGGAATTGCTATTTTGTATTTTTTTTATTAATACAAAATTATGTTGTTTTTTAAAGAAGGATCTTCATAATGATTTTTTTAAATAAAATTCATAACTAAAATGTAGTAATTTTATAAAATTACTATAAAATGTAAAACATTTTAAAAGATAAATCTTTTTATTTAAAATATTTTTAATATTTATTTAAACGTTCATCTATTTTCTAAATGCATGTTATAGATCTTATTGTCAACGATTTATCTGTGAATGTTCTCCATTTTTATTAAATTTTTTCCTTGTAATTTGTAATCAAAATGTCATAATTTGATCTGGTGAAATGACAAGATTGTAAAGATCTATCGCTACTTCCATTATATTAATATTATATATAAATTAAATTTTCAATACACATTTTCAAACTAGCATGGTTTAGTTATGACGTGAGAAACAATGCCGTTTGTTGTCTTTTTTTTTTGTAATTTTTATTTTTAAAGCTTAACAGACAATTATGAACTGCCATTATATGGAACAAAGATAAAATGATAAAAATGCACAATGATTAAAAAAAAAATTTTTTTAAATTTTTGTCCAAGATTTCACCAGATAGTCCTTTAACCTCTGTTTGTAAGATAGGAACATAGACTAATGACTCATGTCATAGTTTTTGATGGAAATTAGTATATGGCTCAAAGTGGATGGTGTATTTCCCCATGAGTAGCTGGTAATGAAGACAAACCACATGTGGAATTTGTTGACTGACCCATACCATGCTGTCATCTATCCCCCAATTACACCAATCATCACTCTCTAAATCCTCTTTGGAGTAAATTAGCTGTAGTATTATTCGGTGCTGGCCTGCTTTTCCTTTCTGTGCTTTTTCCTTTCCCTCTCTCTCTCACTCTGTTTTAAAGCCTTTGAAACATCTCCAGCCTGAGTGCGCTCGAAACGAGCTGCACTTAGTAACCTGATGCTGGTCCCTGCCCTTAATGGTTTGCATTAGCTGCAAGCAATAAAATTAGCCCAGGTCTCTGCTAATGTTGGAATAATCATTTACAAAGATGGTTACCACATGCTGAAGCTGTTTCCCTCTCATTCCCTGTGCTCCCCTTTTTTCTCGGCCTCTCATTTTTTCTTTTATACGGCCTCTAATTCGCTGTTATTAATAATGAATAAAAACCCAATTTTCTGCAGCTTGCTCCAGGGCCCTGGGAATCATTTCAATGAATATTTCAGCACGTTATTTTAATCACAGCTGCACATATGCAGAGGGAGGGGGTCCCTGTTTTATTGGCCTGGGGTGTGGCTATGGTGAGACCCCAGCATCATTAAAACCCCTCTCCGGCTGCATAGAGGGTCCTACCTCTGATTTACAAGACTTGTTAAAAAACACAGTAAAAAGGAGGCAAGCTGCGCCATTTATACTTGTAATTTGATACCGTATTTGTTAATGGGACTTGCTGTTATTTATTTGTGGGCTGGAGAGCCGCGGCTGCTGTTTTGTGCCTGAGGGGTTCTCGTGCAAAAGCGTGTCTGGGTTTCTGGAGCTCTAATGAACTTCATGAATTAGCTATATTTTACCAGATATCATTTGATTCTCCCTCATGTGTAACCTTTGGTTTGGGTGCCCTCCAGAATGCAATTCTCCGTAGCATTGTATGTAGAGTATTACACTGCTGTATAAATTTAAGTGCTTTCTTTGTGTATGTCTGTGGAAGCCCATTTCTCCCACATGAAAGAAAAAAAACATGCTATGCTAAACCCTAATTATATCATAAAAAGTTGCGAGTCATGATTACTAAGTCATTATTATACGATAAACAGTCAGAGTTATGACACACTAAGTCTTCGTTTTGACAAAAAATGACATTGTGAGAAGGTCGAATCTATGCAAGTAATAATTTTATTATGTAATGACTTTTATTTCATAAGGACTGTCATTGACATTTTATCTTATAATATTGATTATAATATCATTCCAACTTTCTATCTCATTCTTGTGTCTTGGTATATCTTAGTATAGTATAATTTCACTATTTCATTATTTAATAATTTCACCTTTTCATGTCATAATTTCACCTTTTCATGTTATAATTTGTACATTTATCTCATATTGCATATTTTCATAAGTTTGACTTTTATATCATAATTCTGACTTAGTATCTCATAATTTTGCCTTTGTCATAATTATAACTTATGTCATAATTTAAACTTTTTATGTCAAAATTGAGACTTTTATCTCATAATTAAGGTGTAGTGGGCCATAATTAAGACGTTTTATCTTATAATTATGACTTATTGTCTCGTAATTGTTTTTTTCCCCCAACTTTTCGTCATAATTAAGACCTAGTATGTCATAGGTCTGACTTTTTATCTCATAATTATGTCTTAGTATCTCATAATCTTGGCTTTTTGTCACAATTCCAACTTTTCATGTCATTTTTTCCACTTCTTAATGTTATTATGAGTTTTCATGTGATTTACCAAAGCATTTTTTCCCCCCTAATGTGACGAAAATGGGTTTCCATGTGTGTCTGATGTGTTTCTGTTGTAGTGCTTCACATTTGTGAATGTATTTTTAACAAAATGAGTGATAATATATTAATGTGCCAAAGTATGATGTGCCCTGTGGAAAGCAGGGCTTGTTTCACCATATAAAATGATATTCAGTGCTTTCATTTTTTAATTTTAGCTTTCCAACATGTTTTTTTTTTTTTTTTCTGATTCCTAACAGGAGTTCCTGTCTTTTCCCCTTTTCCAGTCAGCTGCATGACTTCTGGCGTCTGGATTACTGGGAGGATGACCTCCGGAGGAGGCGGAGATTCGTCCGAAACCCTTTTGGCTCCACCCACTTGGACATCACGTGCAAATCGCTGGAGGACTATGGTCAGTAATTCTGCCAACAGCCAATCAAAAATGTTGCTGGACTCTGTCAGTCTAGCTCATTATCCCTAAATTGCGTTCATTTCATACAATGACATCATTGTTCACCAAATGGGATACACATATGCGAATTAGAATCAACTCTTGGACGCAACTAATATTCTCAGAGCTGAGAAACAGTTCGTTGTCAGCTTTATAGGTTGTATATTTATGAGCCTTGTCAATTGAACATGGCAAGAGGGCTTTATGGCAGGTTTTTATATCCTAACGGCACACATTGTTGAGAGGAAAATTGCACGCTGTGCTTTTTTTTTTACTGTTTCTGCCTTTTGCACTCAAACATTTTTCCTCATTGACCCGTTTGATCTTGCAGCATTGCCCACCGCACGGCTGTCGATTTGACTCTGTGTCTCGCAACAGAGGCTTTAAAAGAGAAACGGTTCAATACTATTAACCAATGGGAGCGCTTCTCCTCCAGGCATCAAATTGAAGATATGAAGGGAGTGTATTAACTGAACAAGGGCAAATCTATTGATTCTCAAGTACAATGGGGCGACTTCTCTCTTGTGCACAGAATAGTTACTGTAACTATTTCCATTACACATGAGGAAACTTACAAAGGGGCAAGCGAAATAAGCCTATTTATTTTTTTAAAAATCCACAATTGAACCCTTGGTATTAGCTCATACTTATGGGTAGATGCATATGAGAGTGTTTTTTGACAACATATTTTGCTAAAATGCTGCTAATGGCCACCTGGGATGACAATAGATTGCACTTTCTAACGTAATGAAAATGACGCACTTTGATTATGGACAATACTCTGTGGTCTAAACATCTTACATTAACCAGTTGTCACGACTCGCAACTGTGAGGAGCTCGGAGACGAGGAGTGGAATTCAAACATACAGGTTTTAATCACATCCAGGGAACAAGGAAAACACACGTAGCAAGGGTAGACATATACAATTCCGGACAAGGGAGAACAGAACGGGCTAGAACTCAAATAGGGCAGATAACGAGGGGCAGACAGGTGAGGAGGATAACTAATAACAAGGAACACCTGGAACTAATAGAACTAAATGGGGACAGGAACAGGAAGGACCAAATAAGGGCAAGGAAGGCACATGGGGAGCAAAACACACACAAAACAAGGAACAGAGTCTGACACCGGTGAATTGATGAATTTTGGTATGAATGTGTCCGGTGTTGGGGAAAGTTACTTTTAAAAGTAATGGATTACAATATTGTGTTAGTAAATAATTACGTTACTTAGTTACTTTTTATGTAAGGTAAGGCATCACATAAGATGTTACAGTCAATAAATGAGAAAACAAAGTACCTTGTGTACTTTGTGTTCACCTTATTTGAAAAAGTAACTCTTTTCTTGTTCGTTTAAAAGTAATGCGTTACTTTAGTTGTTACTTGAAAAAGTAATCTGATTACTCGTGTTACTTGTAATGCGTTACCCCCAACACTGCTTATGTAATTTTAAAGTGTGTTCTGTGACTTGTTATGCAGTAATATTGTGTCTATCTACATGTCTGGCCTTTTGTGCCCAACTGTTTTGAGGCCATGTCAGATGGCCTGTGTGTCAGAGCCAGAACACACACATGCACACTCGTTCATACACATGCCAGCTGTTCCTTGACCTGCAGGTGGCCCCTGCTCATGTCACAACAGACTTTTTTCCCCCACTAATTCATTTTGCCACCATATCAAATCCACACTGTCTTTCAAACGTATTACCCAGTATATCTCTTGCATTTCTTCAGAAGCTCACACCGCTGCAGTATTCCTCTGGCCTGGCTTCTTTTTCTGTCTGTCCTTGGTAAGTTGTCAGTGCGTCTCTGTGGACCCGCGGGCCGTGGTCTAGTGTCTAGGGCCGCTGTGATTGAGGACTTGTTGAGGTCCCCCAGGCTTCTCCCAGTCCTTAATGAGTGGAATAATGCATAAGATTGGCATGTGAAAGGGATTGCCTGTTGTCAGATGTTGCCCCCACAATGCCATAGAGAGAGAGGGAGAGCAAAGAACGACTTCTCTAGATGGATTTTATAGAAACGGATGGACCGTTTTCATAAACCAGCAGAACAGTGCTAAGCTTTTAAGATAAATGCAAGCTTATAATTGTTATGAACTTTAATAAATTAAAAGAAAAAAAATAATGCAGTATATGTTTTACTAAAAAATAAAATATATGTAAAAAAAAAAAAAAAAAATGTAATGTCCTATTTTATTATTTATTCATTTAGTCCATTGTATTTAAAAGCACTCTTATTTTTTCACTGGAATGAAAGTCCTAATATGTCTGCACATATGTACATTGCATAAGGTATATAAATCATCCTTTTAAGAAACTGTAAAAGTCAGTAGCTCTGTGCTTTGCTGAACTGGCAGTAGTGGAGGTTTACAGCTGCTTTTGTGACTGGCGGTCGATGTATGTTGAGTTAACATAGGTGATTTGAATGAATTAACTGTTAAGGGTGCATATAAGTTTCCATTATTTTTGACAGAAACCAAAGAGATTGAAAAATGACTGCTCTCAAATGTCAGAACACTGGCGGTTGACAGCAGTCACTGCATATGGGGCTTGTTTTTATTCACAATGACATACTTTCATAGAGCTTGTCTGTGTTAGAACATACGCTGCGTTTTAGCAATATTTCAAATTTCTTCTCATGCGAAATGACATGGGTGGACATGAAATATGCCTCAGGTTCATTCAAAAAATTTTCTAACTGACTAGAAACAACATCATTATATTTGATTCATGGTAATTTCATGTATTTTCTGTGGCTGTAATACAATCTTCAATCACTGAAAATAGAGGAACGGCCTGAATTTAATGGGACCTCAAATGGCTGACTATGTTGTATAAGCATTTGATAAACCGTACTGCTCTGAGCCTCATTCCCAGGTACCTTTGCATATGTTTGTGGGAAACTTAGCTTTGAAATAGCTCAGTTTAGTCTATTAGCCATGCTGACAAAATGGTGAGCATGTTACATGCGGGTCTCATGGCTTTGATACAGTACCTTCCCCCTTATTCACGAGTGGCCGAGTATATTGTTAGCTGATTGGAATTGGGCAAGCATGAAATGGAAGTCAGGTTAATATTGATCCTGCTCTTTAACAGCCTGTTCTACCTCAGAGTGTCCTTGCAGTCTCATTTTCAGGTGAGCAGCTCTGCCCTGACCCAATCAACCCCTCTGGACAGAGATCTTTATAGCTTGTTACATGAGAAAGAGTGGAAGAGCGAGAAGAAAGGTGGAAGTAAGAGAGGTGTGATAATTCAATACAAGTTCAATAGAAGTAAATCGACAAACGATGTTGATTACCACAAAAATTAATGCCGACTTGTCCCTCTGTTTGCTTAAGAAAAGCAGAAATGTGAGAAGCTTACAATGGAAGTAATTGGGGCCAAGCCGTAAATGTTAAAATACTCACTATTTACATTGTATAACCACAAGACGTAAGCAGTATGCAGGTTAACTTGATTATAGTGTGAAAATAAACAGCTTGATAACCTGTTCAGTTTTTGTTACAACGCCTAAAACACTAAAATAACTGTAAAAAAGGACAAATAAAAATAAATAAGTGCTTTAAAAAAATTCCCCATTCACTTCCATTGTAAGTGCCTCACCAAAACATCCCCACGGGTTCTTAAAATGCCTTGAATTTAAATGTAAGGTCATAAAAAGTCATAAAAAATATCTTAAATGGCATAACAGTCATAATTAATATTTTAAAAGGTCTTAAATGTGGGAACAGAAAACAGGAAGTGTGATAAAAACCTAATGTTATCATTAAACTACAATAAACGTTAAGTGCTGCAAGTTCAAAGACAAAATGCGGCTTTATGTTTTACAGGACTTATTGTCTCAGCAAACTCCAATATCTAAACGTCTAACATTAACCAGTGAATTGATTAATTTGGGTATACTTATGTTCAGTGTTGGGGAAGTTGCTTTTAAAAGTAATGGATAACAATATTGCGTAACTCCATAAAAAAGTACTAATTACGTTACTTAGTTTTTATGGAAAGTAATGCATTACAGGAAAGGTGTAAGTCAATAAATGGGTAACGGGTAAAAGTAATGCGTTACTTTACTAGTTACTTATAATCTGCAAGTTCAAAGGCTAAATGTGACGCTATTGCAAGTTTTACAGGATTTATTGTCTCAGCAAAGTTTCCTTTAATTAGCATGTGAAAGTCTAATCAAATCAGCCCAAATATTTAAACACGCAGGCGTTCTAATTCTAAATCTGCAGAGCTGTCTGTGAATTTCTGTGCATATAGATTCCATGTGGGCTTTGTAATCAGCCCTATTGGGTCTGTATGTGTGATACCAAATGCTTCTCACATGAGTAAAACCATAACAAAAACTTTGCATGGGTCTCCGGTTTCGCTTTACGAAGTTGGGTTCCTTTTTCCAGAGCTGACTGCAGAATTCCTGTCGTTTGATCGACGAGCGCAGCAAGCCCACTTTGCCACATTGTTTGTGTGCGAATGCACTTATGGCACATGTGCAACATTTTGTTTGAGTTATTGTATATCAGTCAACTGCAGAGACATAGATCTACACGTCTTAGTACATTGTGTATTTTTACAAAAGGCATCTCATCTGTCAATCCCAGAATGGAAAGATACACCAGATGCAATTACTGCTTAAATGGAATATTGTGTCATTCTTTATATATATATTTTTCCTAAATTTTTGGCTCTTTCATTTAAGGCTACAAGTGCGCATGACTGAAGTGGGGCGATAAAAGTGCAAGGCAAATACTCCAACCATAAATAAAACATGGACACCGACTAAATGAAGGCCTGTTTGAAGCCTGAAAAAACTTGAACAGTAAAACTACCAAGCACTTAAATATTTCCACCTTGGGAGCTGTGCTCACAAACTGTAAAATTCCTTTTGCCACAAGCTATGCGCAGTTTTTCGTTTGATGTGACTTTTAAAAGAAAAGGCCAAGTAAAGAGATCAGTGTGTTGAAGAAGTCACATAGTGATGGAATGACAGAATTGAATTGCAAACTAGAATCTTTTTGTTCTTTCCTTTTTCGAAGCCTTCAAAACCCTGAGTTACTCATCAAGTAACAGTTTTGTGCCGCTGAAGGAGCTATTTTGGGCCCACTTCAAATATTTGGTTTTCATCATATTGTGCTAGTCATTGGATATAAGTTTAGAGCTACATCTACTTCAGCACATTTTGATTTGTTTGTTATTCTACACGTATGTCAGTCAGTCAATGACAGCTCCCCGTCCCCCAGCTGTATGGATCAGATCCAAGCTTTTAGCGAAGAACATCATTCAAGTCCCACCACGACTGGCAGACCAGCCATCACCTGGTCTTTCTCAACCCTGCTGTGTCATGCCAAATTTGTGCCCTGGGTAACATAAACCCTCTGATGGCAGAGCGGGTAAGCCATGCTGGGCTTGAATAGCTTCACTGTTGGCCGTGATGGCTCACAGGAGTCCAGTGAGCGAGCTTTGGGGGTGCGATAAATGAGGTGGTTGACAATACAAGCGAGGGGTTCTTTCGAGTCTGAGTTGTAGCGATCTCGAGTTCCCATAAAGCCTCATTCCTAGGGCTGACAAATGATTGTCTGTGTTACTAGATATCTCATATATGTGGCCATGTAAGCTTTCTATCAAAGGCTTGCCATTTAAGAGAAAAAACAGGAAGCTTCTGTACCGGTGTCATTGCTCAAAATAGGAACATGCATCACTGTGTTTCAGAAGCTAGTGAGCTTTTGTAGGCAAGATTCATAGTGCTCCTGATGTGAAGGATGTTCCAAAAGGTAGGAACATAATTATAGCCAAGTTTTAACTTAACTTTATGTGGCAGCACTGCATTTGTATCTTTTGGCGTTAGAATCCATTACAGTGTGTTTGGTAGAAAAAAGGTATCCAAGATGGCGGGCGATGCAGGATAAAGGTAAATATGCAGTAATTCATGCAATATAAAATCAGACTATTTTACTCAATATCATTATGTGCCACATGTTTATGCTAGTTAGAGTAATACAGGGAAAGGTTTAAAGGAATAGTTAATCCAAAAATGAAAATTTGCTGAAAATTTACTCCCAAAGCCAGTTTGTTTCTTCATCGGAACAGATTCTGAGAAATTAAGCATTACATCACCTGCTCTGCAGTAAATGGGTGCCATCAGAATGAGAGTCCAAACAGCTGATAAAAACATCACAAAAATCAACAGCATGACTGCATGTTTGTATTAAACAAATCCAGCAAAAAGAGATTTTCATCTTCACATAATTTTCCCGGCTAAAATACAAGTCCTCTATCCATAATATTGATTTCTCTAATAAAAAAAGTAATCTAATCTGAATCAGAAGATAAATATGCACAGATCACAGAACAGTCTGAAACAGTTTCAAACAAATGTGCCTGTGGATTTTGATGTGAAAGGACAACAGTGGATGGAAAAACCTGTGTTTTGGCCGGAAACAATGGTTTATGTTAAAATGCATAAATTGTTTATATATATATATATATATATATATATATACACACAAAGGCACAGCTTTTTACTTCACAAGATGTTATTTAATGGTCCATTATATTTTTATCTGCTGCTTGGACTCTCATTCTGACGGCACCCATTCACTTCAGAGGATCCCTTGGTGAACAAGTGATATGATGCTAAATTTCTCCTAATTTTTCTGATGAAGAAACTAAATTTTTGACATCCTGAATGGTCTGAAGGTGAATACATTTTCAGAAAATGTTTATTTTGTGACCATGTACATGGACAACATTAAGAATGCGTTTTGATCTATGTTTTGAATGAATGACAATTAATTGTGTACACAAATAGCCTGGTGGCACAGATGGATGACCATAATGGCAAAGAGCACACATTGATTAATGTTATTCTTTGATATGATGCATTATCCAGTGGTTTAATTAACATTCAACCTTTTTCCCACCAGAATGTGCATTTTTAGTGCTATAAAATTGATTTAATGTGAACACGATGATATATTAGCGTCAATGATGTTTGTAGCTATTACTAGGTGCTACCAGAACTAGGAACGTCTACAAGTTAGCAACAAATACAGCAACTGATGTTATGCAGTGACCAGGTACGCTGGGACTTTATGCACATGTTTGTTTTCCTTCTTGTGGCCTTCTTTGTGTAAACCATCCTAAAGTTAAATACTTTTTTTAACTCACTTTTTCCCCCTCAAACTCTCCCCATTTGCTCAGGATAATTTTCTTGTCAAAATCCGCCTGGTTTATTTTGTCTGCATTGCACTGAGGTCCTAAGCTTTATCTTGCCAGTCAAGACTGGAGCTCAGCTCCATCAGCCCTCCCTGCTTTAATGCAGGCGTAATGACGGTTTACAGAATTACGGTCTTAAGTTTCCCTCCATCTGCTTTGATCCATGACCGCTTGCTGGCTATGTGCCTCTAAATGTTACACGCTCCCTATTTCCGAAAAGCGGTCCCACTTCTTCCTTGGCTCTGATGAAAGCTCCTGAGATATGAGACAGAGCAGGAAGCCCGCTATGTTATTTTTTTTTTTTTTCCTCTCTCTCCTTCTCTTTTTCCTTCTTCGTCTGTGTAGTGGTGTTGACAACATTCGAACGTGACCGCTTTGAGACAAGGTACATGAACCCCACGGGAGTGTAGGGAACATTTTAAATGCTGCACTGAAAAGAAACACATCAAAAGAGTGTCAGACACTTTCTATTCCTGATAAGCGTTTCTTTTTTCCTTTTTTTTCACAGAATCTCTCTGTTCTGGTGTCTCAGGCAAATCTGACCTTACACAAGACGAACCCAGTGTGCAGTGATGTGTGTCAGGCCTGACTGCCATTTTTCTCTCTTTTATTTAGTAATTAAAGCTGATGAATGATCTTTTTGTTTCGATTAAAAAAAAAGTGGCTACAAATTTTTCTTTTTCCCTCAGATAAGGCTGCTTGATGAGCTTTGGTGTTATCAGCAGTCGCTTAATTGCGTTGTCGGTTCAATCCCGTTCCCGTCTAGATTTAGAGAGCGGATTGCATTATGCCTAATGAACTTCGAAATGTCTCTTTAAAGGAGAATTAAACAGTTTAGAGTAAAACGTTATAGTTTGCCTGTGGTTCCAGTCAGGATTTTGAAATAAAACGTGTTTATTTCAATTTGACATCATTGCTGATACTTATTCCAGATAGAGTTTGTTCCTATAACAAGTTCTTATCCCAGAAATAAAGTGTTAAGGCCTGTTCACACAAAGGACGTTAAATGTAACGATAATGATAACGATATAGTTCTAAAAATCTGTCTGAATTTAAAAGAATAGCAGATTCCGCACCACAACTATAACCCCACAGAGAAACAATTTCTTTGGGATCACTTTCAGAACCTTTTTTTTTCATGAAAATCTAGATGGCATAGTTCCGATAGTTTCTAACGCAATCTGATATAATGACATCTTTATTCAAATGACACAGCTGATTGGTTTCTTTTCATATCAGCAGCCAGTGAGGTTACAGCTCAACATTCAAATACTTGGTTAGTGCTTGCTGTAGCAGTTGCAGCGCGCTTCAGAAACCCTCCACCTTCCCCAGCTCCACCTGTATAGATCTGCTATGGGGTGATTTCATGTATGTTATATATGTTATTTCATATATATATGTTATATGTGCAGCAGCAGTATTCTTTACATGCTCACAGCAGCATGTCTGTGGATGTATTTGGAGTAGCAAGTTTTGGTACTTGCTCTCCCACAGCGGTGTAGCAGATCTATTCTGCCAAGACCAAACACATTAACATTGTCATAGACATTACCATGCTAAACCTCTCTGAGAGTTGTCATGACAGGAATATAGATATTGTTATATATATATATATATATACAGTGGGTACGGAAAGTATTCAGACCCCCTTAAATTTTTCACTCTTTGTTATATTGCAGCCTTTTGCTAAATACATTTAAGTTAATTTTTTTTCCTCATTAATGTACACACAGCACCCCATATTGACAGAAAAACACAGAATTGTTGACATTTTTGCAGATTTATTAAAAAAGAATTTGTGAACAGGCCTTTAAAAAAATAAATAAATAAACCAAGTTCCTACGTTGCTTGGTTACCATTATCTATTTATCTGTTGTGGCTTATTGATTTTCTGTGGACTCGAGATTCATTTAAAGATACACAAAAACCTGGCCAAGAAATCACCATAAAAAAAGAAAAAATAATAAATCCACCATATATTTTTTATAATATAATATGATACACTGCACAGTATAATTTTTAATGTATGTATTTTTATATTTATTTTTAATGTGTCTTTTATGCCTTGTGATTCTCAAATGTGCTTAAGTACAAATAATGTCCGTTTTCATCACCCTTGTCTCTCTGCAGGCCCTGAGGAAGATGAAGCCCTGAGAGGGAGGAAGGGCTTCCGCGGCCAGGTGGTGGTCTGCCAGAGCCCTGAGACAGAGCTGATGCTGGAGGGGGACGATGACGCTGTCAATCTGCTGCAGGAGAAAGAGGTGGACAACTTGGCAGGTGAGTCAACCTATACACAATACACAGTGCAATCTGTATAGTGACGGTTCTCCATTCAGCATGCATAGTAAGTCATACACATCAGTTTCATGACGTGACACTTTCCTTCAGTCTTCAGGTTTAAAGGTTCTGTGTGCCACATGAGTTTGGATTAAACATTTTTAGACATAATTTGTTATGTTATTGAAATTATAAAGTCATATTCAAACATACCTGTAGGTTTACCTGCACAGAGAAGTCCTGCCAGAGGCACTTCATCTGAAATGTCTGCATAATTCCACATTTGGTTGCATTTATTTATCTATACATAGCTTAAGCGTGTCATTTTGTCGGAATGACAGTATTTGACATAGAACAGATATATAAATATATCTTACCTGTCAATCTAGAGGCAGACCAGTGTAGTTAGTGTGGTTACTTTGCGTTAGGACTGTGTTTATGTTTTTCTGGCTGTGTTTAGGGTTAAGTATTGCTCTGGACAGAGTTACATTTTTTTTTCTACTGAATATTTATTTATTTGTTTATTCTTTAAGTCTATAGTAAAACAAAATTTTAAATATGTATTTCTCTTTTTTCTCACAGCAAGTTTCTGTCCCCAGGTTTTTATTTCCAGAGGCAGGTTTGGCTATGTAAAGAGAGATTAACCCTTTCAAAACCACTAATATTACATTGAATCAAATTAATTACATATAATTATTATAGAATTAAAGCAAATATGATTTTAACCAACAATCAGGAGGCAATCAAGATCAATATAGATGAGTTAATTATTTATAGTGACATACCTTTTCCAAAATGTAAATGTGCTAATAATGATAGTCTGATAATTTTTCTTTTGCAACTAAAATTGTCTAATCGCTATTTTATTTTATTTTATAAGGAGGAATATATATTTTTTTAAATCACTTGGATTTCCATTATTCTCAGCAACTATAATATCAGAATTACTACTGACAGGTTGTCTCTCAGTGTTAGCAGTGCTTTGTTAACGTGTTACATTTTTATCAGCTATTCGTTGGAAGATGTTGTATATGATATATGTATTGTGAATGTGTAGCTGACATGTTATTAATAATACCCTGAATAATCAGTGCCCCCACTCGCTCTGCAGACCTTCATTAGTCAATGAAGGTTAAAAATGAGAGGTGAGATATGTATGCGTCTGTAGAAAATCCAATGCCCTAATTTATCTATATATTTTCTTTACTATCTGAAGTGTTGTATGTATGCATAGCTGATCGTGTTGTTAAAGCTCCCAGCACACAACCTATTTAAACTCATTCACAATTTATAAGCAGTTCTTCATGCCATTCTACTTTTTTTTGACTCTGTAGGAATTCCTTTATCAGATCTAAATCAGGATTGCCTCAATTACCCTCTAATATGTTCCCACCAATGTTAGCCAATTCGCAAAGCAGGTATGCAGACTGATGTTAAAAGTAATTTTACTGGAATGCAATCAATCATAAATCCTGGCACAGTGTATAAATTCCTGAAATGTTCTATGAGCACCATCAAAAGGATTAATATTAAGCAGCAAATACACTGATTTTGTATCCATCACTTAAAATGAAATGCTTAGAGTACTGATTATTTTAAAGGCAACTAGCCTAATAAGCAGTGTAAACATTTAATTACATGCCACTGTTGGTTTGTGCAGTATTTGTGGATGAAAAGGCCCAAATTAGTTTCTTTCAGTAGGCTATATATTTATGACTCACGGCAAGTAGGCCTATTTTAGTGACAATCATTTTTTACTGCTCAGCATTTAGTTTCAAAAATGTGTGTTTATGCTTGTATTGGGTGTTTTATTCCTCTGTTATCTGAGTTCATCACCACAAGGGGAGCTGTGCCATCTGTGTCAGTATGCTGTGTGTGCACTGTTTCTATTTTGACAGCAGGCCTACAGGCTAATGCTAGTGCTAATGAGCACAGTGTAAACAACAGGCCAATCAACAACAGCCTTCTCACAGCCAATGGGAGGGGCTCAGTTCGTCTGCAGCCAATCAGAGTACAGGATCTGTCATGAGTGTATTTACACCCACAGCTAAACATAGACAGAACAGGTGTGATGTAAAGAGATACTGATTTGATTTTGTTTTCTCTCTCTCTCTCTCTCTCTCTCTCTCTCTCTCTCTCTCATGCCTTTTCTCTTTCATACAAAAAAAAATTACATTTTAAATAAAACGTGTGTGTGTGTGTGTACCTGTTTTTCTATTCTGGTGAGGACTTAAACCTGAATACACACAGACTCATGGGGACTCGTGTCACGGTGGGGACCTAAATTGAGGTCCCCACGGGTAAACAAGCTAATAAATCACACAGAATTAAGTTTTTTGAAAATCTAAAAATGCACAAAGTTTCCTGTGAGGGGTAGGTTTAGGGGTAGGGTTGGTGTAGGACAATAGAATATACGGTCCGTACAGTAGAAAAACCATTACGCCTGTGTGTGTGTGTGTGTGTGTGTGTGTGAGTGCGTGCATGCGTGCGTGCGTGTGTGTGTGTTTACATATTAGCATTATATTACCACCATATTAACATTTTACCAGGAAGCTACAGTTACAGAAGCTACAGATAAAGTTATACCTTTATTCTAGCCTATTGATCTATTTCATATCTACGTTTGTACTACCAAACAAATAACTGTGTTATTTTCATATTCGTATTAGGCATCCTGAAGTTGCACACACAGAGAGCGAAAACATCATCTATTTTCCCAGCATGCCTTTGTCTCGCCACACTCCAGTGACATCACAGTCGATAGCGCGAGGCAGTCTTTTTATCAGCTGAAGTCGGGACAGAGCGCAGCTCAGATTTGCTGAGTACAACTGCACCTGTTTCGTTCCAACATGATAATCTGCTAATCCTCACTAGTGCTCCGAAATCAACACTACATCACTAGAACATCGGCAACACAAATTAATCAAATAGATTTAACGGGAAAAATTACAAAGAACAGTCGTTATTATTATTATTACAAATAGCGTTTTTATTTTGTTAGACTGTTTATTTAATTTTTGGGGGGATATCGTAGGCTGTACTATTGTATAGTATAGTAGCCTATAGTATAGCTAATATTTTTTTTAAGAAACATAGCTAAATAAATGTCGTTCATACGGTTTTAGCCTACACAATCGAGAAACGGTCCAGTCCCAGCGGCAGATGAGATTACATATGTGAAACCTGATCGCTCCGATTATGTAATATGAACGTACTTTTGTTTGATCCCAATTTTTAAAGGTCTCTTGAGGCTTTAGCGCTAATCCTTTTTGCGCATTGGATTAATGCTGTATATATTGTCTGGATTCACAAGTGTCCCTCTAGGCCACGTTACAATTGCCTCTTTCTCTATTAAACATGTTATGAGAGGGGCATGATTCGGATTAAAGGGTTCACTAGCTTTTAACAGGTGAAGCTATGTTGCCTTGTCGAATTATTTGCGATCGCACAAAATGTTTATTCGTTCAACATAACTTCTCATAAGTTAGATTTGATAAAAATAAAAAAAATGGCGTAGGCCTATTTCCTCTGTTCACAACATAGGCCTAGTAGGCTATTTGAAATAATAGATGTTGAGTTGGCGCCAGTAAAGAGGATAGGCTACGGTTTTATTCATCGGCTCCTCGATTTTCATTCAGTCTACTCAAAAACATGTATGTATGTATTTATTTATGTGTGTGTATTTGTTTATTTCGCGTAAAATCTTCGTATCGTAAGCACACAGTAGCTTTAAGTTTATTTTCAGGCTAGTAGGCTGTCTTCGATTTATAGTGCTGCTTTGTTGCTACACAAATTGTTTTTATCATAATATCTTAATATAGTTTACCTAATTTAAAACTGATCACGGTTGTAATATTTACTGGAAAGCGCAGTGTTATATCTGGTACAAAAGGAGGCAGAGCGGCTTTGGTTTCTACGAGCGGTCGGGGAGAGCAGTGAAGGAGTGCTCTGGGAATTGAAACCCAAATCCACTTGTAATCTTGCAACAGTATCGGGCATAATTGGCCGAGGAGAGCAGATTAAGATTGATGAGACGTTAAAGTGGCTCTTTGGAGTTCAGGGGGATCGATAAATATCCCAATTTCAAGAGCCTCTCCTCACATCCAGGACGACGGACCCGTGGGCTGCTACAGGGGTGAACTAATAAAAAACAGAGGACTGGTCAAAGAGAAAAATTTAGAGAGAGAGAGCGGGCGCGCACTTGGGATTAGATCCTAGTCATCTGACCGGAGGTCGAAACGTCTGTAAATATTTTAATAATGTTTGTAAGGTCAATTTTACAGGTTTCATACCATCAAAAGGGAATTTCAACGACTGATTTGATTAGGAAGCGCATAAATGCGTATCACTCACATTTGATTTGTTCGGTAGCAAAATAATGAAAGAAAGTGACTGTGAAATTATTGCCGTTAGGCCTCATAGAAACGCTTACCTATTAAAATAATCGGGAGAGATTTTTTTTTTCTTGATATAGCCTAATGTCATATAGCCAATGCATCAGTTTGGAGGACTGATCGCGTAATTAGCTTACTACTGAAATGATTCGCTTTAACAATTTACATAATTTCCATATTTCATTTTCATGCGCATGCAAAACTCATATGCGCCTACCTTTTGATTAGATAAGAACAAAATATTACTAAAACATTTTATTGTAAATCGATATTATTTTGAATAAACTATGTAAGATTTATTTCGCACGACACACATCACGCCAGTAGGCTATCACCATCGTGTCCAAGTCTACAAAACTGTATTCGAAAAGTCACGCTTGAAAATATTACAAACACATTCTAAAGAAATGTCTCAAATTGTTTAATGTATGTGTATGGTTGTGTATAAATACATAAGCTACTAACTTGCATTACGCATCGTTTGTTGGTGACTGCCTTGCGATACTTTTTTTTCCCCCTGTGAAAATAAAAATCTATTTCCTTGTTATAGGCCCTGTTGTTTTGAGCACCCCGGCCCAGCTTATTGCCCCGGTCACTGTAGCTCGTGGGACTCTCTCTATCACTACCACGGAAATCTATTTTGAAGTGGACGAAGATGAGCCAGCCTTCAGACGCATTGATGCCAAAGTAGGTTGCATTTGTGTTATTTGCGAGTGTGTACACGTGAAAACACCAAGCAGAATCGCATTCCTAATGACGTGGAATAAAATAAAATATCATAAAGTGTTTAACAATCTTACAGCCTTATTAAAACCATCAATTATTTAATACTTTAAAAATAGCCTTTTTCTAAATCGAGGCCCATGCCTTGAATGCCCCGTGAGGCCAAGCACAAAGAGTATTCTTGATTTTGTTTTAAAAAGGCTTAGAATAACTAGTATTTACTAGACCTGCATTCATGACCAAATATCAGTTACGATGATGATTTATGTACAAATATGTAAAATGAACCAAAGCTTGCGCGTTTAAAACTCATAATCGCTTAAATCGGCAGTCCTCACTTTTGTATGAATTACATGGAATAACATTGAGTGAAGGAAATAAAAAGTTGTAAGTTAAAATGATATTATTGTAACATTTATAAATGAAGGGGTGCATTTCTGATGTGTAGAACTGTCATGCGAGATTTGTATCGTTAAGCCACACATTTCTGCAATGCATATCAGTTCATCTTTGTCCTTATTTCAACAGTCACTGTGCACAGGACTAAATGTTCTCTCTTATTTTCTGTTTTGGTGTTTTCCACGCTTTTTTATTTTGTAAGAACCAGGCTACATCATGTCATTTTTATGCCGAAGATCCAGATGCTTAAAGATCCCCAAAAATCGTGCCTATTCTTACACTGCAGTATTTATGCATCATGAATCATTATTTGGACACAAATATGAATTTGTTTTTATTAACTCTTTAAATAAACTCAGAGACAGATTAAAAAAAATCAAATCACAAAATGTTATATTCCAGTGTATTTCAAGTGCATTATTTTCAGGTATATTTTTTCATATATATATTCTCAATTTCAGCCTTTTATCATGTAAGCAAGGTACAAACAAAACGGTCGAATAGGCCTATACTTTAAATAAGAATTCAAGTATGCATATGGAATGTTTAGGAACGTAACAAATAGTACCATCAAAATGTAAACTTTAGAATTTTGCCATTGACAATAGATTAAATCGCTGATGCAGGTCTAAATGTTTTTTCTTTATCAGAAATAATCCAGGCGAATGTTAAAACAGGTGAAATGATACTTCTATTTACGTGTCACAGAACAACATTCACAACTGCAGACCACTGGATTCACAATCTACAAATGTGTCTATTTACAGTATAAAATGTACAAGTTGTATTCTGTCACGTAGCTTTGTTTAGGTAAAACGTGCTGTTGGGCAGGGCTCGTAAAAAGAAAAGAAAGAAACAGTAATACTGACAGGTCACCATTCATTTTGATTGTTGATACAATTTGCTCCCTCCTTAAGACACATTAATGTCACGTGAAGCATTTTTAAACGGAGCTCTCTAAAATATTTTTACAACATGGGTTGGTTTCAACAGTGACCATTTTGTGGAAGAGTTCCTGATTAGCATCGTCTAGGCCTCAGAACTTTGATCAGGCAGACCTCCTATTCACAATCATTCCGTTTAATTATTTTTTTTTTACCTCAGAGTTTCTCCAGGCTTTTAGGGTTGGTTAGAATTTCTCTCGCCATTCGCCAAGTCTGTTTGGCAGCGTTTTCAAGGCCCGAATGTGGCTTTCCTTGGAAAAGGTCTAGGCTTGGCAGAAAATAATGGGGACATCTCCTGCACTGCAAGCACGAAATGAGCTGCAGTAAAATCCCGTTCAGTCGATCCCCGAGGCAGTTCTCGTCCCAGTCCGACTCGCGCGGATGTTTTTCGCACTCGTAAGACACAAGAGTTTTCATGTGGTAGTTGTTGAGAGGCTGCCCGGGAAGTTCAAGGTGACGGTCGCGCAACGTCTTGAGCAGGGACAGGCATTTCTTCCTGCACCCTCCCAGGAGCAGGCGGTTCTCCGCTTCGCCGAACTGCAACACCCAGGCATCGCTCTCCGCCGAGCTCTGCTTCCCGTTCAACGAGTAACACTCCTTCGATAAGAGATTGAAACCCTCGGCTTTGACTTCTGCCACCCGGTTCGGACCAGGCCACGGGATGTGTGGCAGCGGCCAGTGGGCAGCGCTGCGCGGCCATATGCCGGTGCACTTGAACGCGGGGGTGATCTGAACCACGTATCTGTCTCTGATGCGTAATTTCACCTCGCTGGTGTCCGCGATCATTTTAACCACGTCCCTATAGCTGCACTTATCCACCGCCTGCGCCACGAGCGTCTGGAACCTGGAGCGGATCTTTCGCGCGGACAGGTATCCCGAAGCCGTGATGAACTCGACCCAGAGGGACATGCTTCTCTTCCGCCCGTCGCTTAGCTTGAGCACGGCGCAGCCCGGCAGAGAGCCGTCGTCCACGAAGTTGAAGACCCCCATCTGGTTCAGATACAGGACCACCTCGAATTCTGTAGGGGAGATGACCTCGAGCCCCTCGAAGCGGTTATCCATTTCGTTTAAGGAGCTGATAAAGCGGGGCTCCTGGACCTCCACCTCCTTCAGGACATCTGAGACTACCTTGCACACCTCCCGGATGTTCTTGGAGATGGCCGCCTTCCGAGACTGGCATTTCTCGTTGTAGTATTTATTGAGATGATACACCAGCTTGGCCTGGGCGGCGATCATATTTGGACAGAGATCCGGGTTGTACACCGGAGTCTCGCAGTAACCCGAGGGATCCAACGCGGCTGTTTGTACAGGAGCCAATTTTAGAGAAGAAAGTGGACTATTTAGAGGGAAAAAGGAGGATTATGAAATTAAAAAATAGCTTTTTATTTGTGCGTGGAGCACATGCACAAAGTCGGGCAGTTAAATCATGAGCTTCTGTTTTCAATTGCGACCAAAAAAAAAAAAGTCAAACCCCTTGCAATTCAGCAATTAAAAGTCCATACGCACGGATCAGTAGTTCAGCAAACCTCTCGTATCCACTTGCGGTGTCTTTTCTCTGTTTGCAACAAGGGTTAGAAAGTGCAGGGTGCTCTTAAGTGTGTGTCCTAGCTGTGTTGCTGTGTTTAAGACTCCGAACTCACTCCTGTGAAATTATAAAGGGAGGGTTTGAGAGCAGCTCGTCCAATCACGGCTCGAGTCGTCACTGCCTTCAGTTTTTTGACGACAAATTAATCCTCCGCTTTTATACACAACCAAATCTTCTGGTGGAAACACACCTACACTTTGGAGGGAGAAGATACAGGTTTATTCGCGATATATGCGGGCTTTTCCTGCTATTCTTATTAGATACAGACTATGCCTGTTATTATTCATTTTCTTTTTAACAGAAATAATTTCATTTCATTCGTGTGAGAATGGATGTATAATTTGATATACATTTTTAAGAGTTTCATTTTCATTATCGTTCTGGATCTGTAGGCTATTACAATTTGACGAAAATGTAATTTGTATTTTTTTTTATTTTCTCTGTAGTTTGACATGCATAATGTTTTTCGTTGACCTGTTAATTTGATTTTTCTTTTGGTGTTGAAGTATTGTTTCACGTTATGTTATTTTCGATATTTAAATGTCTTCATTTGATAGGCTATTATATTGCTACATTGCGTTATATTTCTTAATAGTGTATGTTATTTAAAATTCGCTTTGAATATTATACTAATAGAGATTTGTTTTAATTATTTTGCGTTATAAATATGGTAATGGATATAATGGTAGGCTGAACATGACACGTCTCAGTACCGAACGCCGGAATCTTTTCTTTAATTTTAAATAAGCCTATTTCAAACATTAACCCGTGTTATTTATTTTCTTATAAGACGGCAAATGAAGCTTTAGGTTCATTTAGGTTATGGTGTTTTCGTCTTACTAGCTTTGCATAGCATATAAAAAATGATTAGGAAAAGTTTTTTGTGAAGTTCATTGTTAAATGAAGATTGAAGGCCTTTAAATAGCTAATGTGCGTTAAGGCGTTTTTGCTAACATATGGAAAATTTGTCGCATTTTGTGTCTAATTATTTATTTTAATTTCTAATTATTTTAAAAAAGAATATTGCTTAAAGTTTTGTTTTTGCATAAAATGTAAGACATTCCAGAGTGGTGTAGCAAATGTAAAAGGAGAAGCGTCTTTTTGATCTTTTTAATTCGTCTTTCACGAACGTTTTCTTTAATGTTTTTAATTTAAACTAGTTTTTTATTTGTTCGATGGGAAGAAAAATATTATACTCTCTTAACTTCTTTTATTGTTTTAAATTAACTGCTAGTATAGATTTTTTTGTTCTTGTTCAGTGTCCAAATCAAAGTTCGTTTTAATAGCGTACAACTTTTTGGAGTGTTCTTTCAAAAACTCATGCTTTTATAACGTGCCTGTATTTTCTTATTTTAACCTTTCATTCCAATTTTTTTTTTTTGTTTCGGCGGATTAAACGTTCAAAAATTCCACTGTAAACGTCAGGAAATATTTGAACGATTTGAGATAAACTTCCTCAGATCACAATGTCTGGAAAAATCTTGTGTATCATTGCGCGAAATGCAGAAACACCTTTCTCGCGATATTATATATGACATCAAACAACAAAACAACGAGAACACCTCGTGTTTACATGTTTCGTGCCCTTTCCAAATCCTCCCCATTACACGACGCGGTGCTTATCGCACTCATTACGCAAAAAAAAAAATCTTCAAAAAAAATATGGAGACAAGTTTAAATTTTTTAATGAATATAGACTGTGATATTTATACACATGTTGTAGATATTTCTATAGTCATGTCTGTTTCAAGCTCATAGAGCAGATTGTTATAGGTCACTGTACTAAGGCATCACAGTCTGTTGGCTTCAGTCCTCACTGTAGTCTGCTTGGCTCCTTCTGCCTGGATGATTTTGCCAACCATAATTAATAGAGCTCTGCTGTTTGCAGGCAAATATCACACTTATCAGTTCGCCTTCACCTCTGTAATGAAAGCAAGGTGAATGCTGTTTGGGCCTCTGGCGGGGATAAGTATGTAACACTATATTTAAAGCAAACATTTTATTATTATTATTAAAGCATGTATTCAATTACTGTATGTCTAAGATATCAGATATAGTTTAATTTCATTCTGGACTGCTGTACATGCATTAGGTGACAAAAACTTGGAAGTTTTTTTGGGGGGGGGGGGCGGTGATTTGACAAAAGAAAAGGAGAAAAATACTTTTATACTGACACTTTGTTACATTCAGATTTTTTTGTGCTATCTGTTTAACCCTGCTTCCACCTCAACCACCTCTCTCTCGCTCTCATGCACGCACACACATACACACACACACACACACACACACACACACACAACATGGCAGGTACCCAACCATATCAGATCAGACGGTCTCCCTCCCTTCACTGGTTCATGCTCTGATGTGTTCAGCTTTTGTATGTCTGAATCAGTTGCTTGTCTATTGTTTGCCAGTGTGTTACAGTAAATAGCAGTACACTGTTGTAGTATCTGGCATAATTTCATCTCGGATTAGATCCTGTTAATATTTTAACACTCTCACACTCAACATTGGAAATTGGCCTATTGCAAATGAAGAATGTACTTTATGGAACGGAACTCAAGTCAGTGTTTATCAGTATTTCCATTTCAGCATTTTATGATATTGTAATACTATATTGTCTAGGATCAGGTCCAGGAAGTGTTTGATTTTATAAACACACTTTTAAAAAAAATAACGAGAGTTATTCAGTATTGGAAACTTTTATGCTGCATCTTAAATCATTTGAATACAAAACCATTCAATACTGTATACGTGACTCAAGTGTCCTGTTAAGTGTGACCTGGAGGCACTTCAAATCCCCCTTGACTTCGAACCCCCTCTCCTCTCACGCACTCTGCATCTGCACAACATTGCGATCTGTGTGTCTTGGTGACATAACACACTATGATATATGAGGATGTGACAACAGTATGGCTGCTATTTCTGACCCAGCGAATAGGATGCCTGATTGTGTAAATCAATACAATGACTCCGGCTTCCGCCACATTTTGGACGAGCATATGACCCAGGAAACGTTTAGCTTGTTGAAGGCCTCTTTGTTCTGGAGTTTCCTTGCCAATGATCTTTTCATTTTTCTCTCTCCCTCCCATCTCATTCTGAAGAGCGATTCTCTTGTCAAAATGGTCAGGCATGCTGATAAAGGCCCTTGTCAAACACGCGTACCATGTTTAACTGTCACAGAATAGTATTGTTTTTAAACAAATTGATGATTAAAATAAAGATCTTACAGTTGCTGCAGGTTTTTAGTCACCATCTTTCAATTTTTAATTTAGCAATTTGTTATAATGTAAAGATTATAAATGAAAAATCATTTCAGTATTTTTTAAAAACATATATATATATTTTTTCTTATTTTTTAATCATATTATTTTTTTATTGTTTTATTAATTTTTAAATGTTATTATTTTATGTTTATTATTATTTTAAAATATAACGACATTTACAGTGTGATTTTTTTCTGTTTCTTTGATTCCTTTTCTTGTTTTTATGTGTGTATAAGAAGGTTTTAATATTTATGAAATACATTGCAGACAGTGCTGCAGTTTTTGCACCACTGTATTTAATTAGAATCCCTCATTAATAATCTAACATACTAATTTTAAAAAAACATCATGGGACAACATTAGATAGCACTTCTATGTGGCTAGAACATTGCATGCCAATATTAATAGTACCAAGAGAGTTATTCGCAGATTTGAATATATCAAGAGCTTTAGAGAGTCCTAATTGAAGTTAATAGTCATTCTCCACACTGATATTAATAATCCTATTATTCAGTGACAAAAGGTCAGCTCAGCTTTATTTCATCATCATTCACAGACAGTTCTTTACACTGATCCCATCATCATTTTGCAACAGCGAAAAAAAAAAGCAAAAAAAGCAAAAATGGATCTGAGCCAAAAGGCGTCGCTAGGTCAAAGCACAGATTATCGAGTGCACTTAATAGAGTGGAGAAGTCAAATATAAATCATATTAAAGGCCCTGCCATTTAAGACAAGCAATATTAGCGTGGAGCTCGGCGCTGGTGGGGATTGCATTATACAAGATGGACACTTATTATGACATATCCCTTTCAGCTTCTTGCAAATGGATATCAAAATTGTCATTGAGTTTTCTTCCGAAGCGAATTCGGTTATTCCAGGCAATATGGCCACACTGCAGGGCTCCCAGTTAATTTTCTCTTGCCTGTCGGCTGTCAGCCCCCTACCTCTCACGCTTTGAATTCTCTCCCTCCATTTGTTTTATTGTCCATGCTGTATTAGAAGCCTCCTCTCAGGGGGAGTTTGGGAGAAGAGGACAAATCCCACCCTGTAAAATGCAGAATTTTTGGGAATTGCGGACTAGATAGGCTAAAGCGAAACAGTAACCATCAAGTGCAAGTGAGAGACTGGAACGTTGGAAAATTAATCACTTTTTTGAGCTTTGCCATCACCCTTTCTCCCCCCTACAGCAATATGCGTTGCTTGTCAGCTTCTCTGATTAATGACGTGCATTTATTTGCATAGATTTAGCATTGATTTCATTAGTTTATTCAAAAAAGGACCTTTTGATTTTAATGTCCTTTAATCCGAAATTTTACGCATTTGAAGATTTTTTGAGGCGTGTTCACTTAGAAGCTCACGAGATGTTGTGCATTCACAAAATCAGCTATTCTTCATATGTGGGGCGAATTAAAGGGATAGTTCGCATAAAAATGAAAAATGGTGTCATTTACTTACTCTCATGTCGTTTCTAAACCTGTATGACTTACTTTCTTCTGAGGAACACAAAAAAAGATATTTTGGAAAAAAATGTATTGTGCATATTTCCCCATCAATACAATGAAAGTCCTGTGTTGTTTTGGACCCCATTGACTTTCATTGTTAATATAAGTTTGAAATGTCATGAGGTTGAATAAATGTTGTCAGAATTTTCATTTCTGGGTGAGCTTTACTTTTAAATTTCTATAAACTGTTCAAACTTTCGAAAGTTTCTCATGAAACATCATTTCATTTATTTGCATAGATTTAGCATTGATTTCATTAGTTTAT